GACGACCTAGGGTCAGGAGTCCCTCCTGGGGCACACCCAGCCTCTATAAAGTGGGTACCCTTAATTAAATAATTAATTAGAGGAGAAACCTGGAGGTTGAGTGTGATCTCGGTCAAATCACCTCCTTGCACAACCGTGGACCTAGAAACAGTACTTTCACTAAATAGTACTGAAACCCAGATACTTCATGGGTTGTAGTGGTACAGGTTTTTTTTTTTTTTTTTCATAAACCTGCATTAAATGACAGACAACCCGATAAAAATACCTTGCATGTGATTGATTGAGGTGAATCGCTCAATAGATCGACGTGAGAGCAGTAAATCCTATTCGAAGTTCGTAGCAATTTTATTTATTTAAATTCTCATTTAGATCGTTCTATATTGACTTTGAAGGGAGTTTCTATTAATTGTCTAAGAAAATATGTAAATGGCATTCTGTCGTCCCATATTTTCCCCTACTTCATTTTCTATTTTCCTGCATCTTTTAGTAGAATATTTTTATTTGCTAAAAGAGAATAATAAGAAAGAAGAAGAAAGGATGATAACAGTAAGTTTTTAAGAGGAAATCCGTTAAGGAAGCCGAGGAATAGGAAACCAGATAAGTGTTCTATTTACTAGGAGGAGGCGTAGCTCCTCAGTTGGGAGGCTTCTGTTCAATATAACTTTGCCACTTCCCAACCCATCTTGCCAAACTTTTATTTCTGTCCGCTACTTTCTGATGAGGCATATTTTAGTAAGAGCCTCTCAATTCAATTGCTTTGTGACACTTGAAGACAAATATTTTAATTGTTTTGATTGTTCCGACACAGTCGGAGAGTAAAATTATACTATAAATTTGTTGATGTCATCAATTATTGCACTATGAAGACGATTATTACAGAATATTTGGTCACCTTGAGAAGTGTATGGTCAGTACTCCTATAATGTGGAAGGCTAGATTAAGAGAATATATATTTATTTATTTTAAAAACAACCATACATATTATCTATTTTTATATCTCTAATATATGCTATTTTACTAATTTTATATATTACATTATCTTTTTATTTATATATTTTTTTTCTTACTTGGTTATTTATATTCCTTTCTTATGTACATATTGTGTGTATGAATACCATAGCCCTAGTACTAATGCCTTGCAGTGTGGCAGACTGTATTAATACTCAATAAAATATATTAAAAATATATATATAAATAAAAAAGTGATTTTCATATTTTATTTTATTGGAGTATTAGTAGAATATTAGTAACATTCTATTCTTCTAATACAAAATAGAGATTTACACCTTGGTATCTTCGTTACGGTATTGAGCTCCTGTAATTTCATACTCTCTTATTCTAAAATAAAGATTTTAGAACAAAAATGTTTAGGGAAAATAGTATTCATCTGGAGGTGGTAGTTTGATGTTACCTATATGACAGCAGTTATTTTTCAATCTAGACGTTTCCTCTTGAATACAATATATTAATTATTATATAATATATTATACTATTATATAATTATAATTATTATGGTATAGAAAAGAAAGCATTTACATAACTTATAATGAAAATATTATAAATAAAAGTCTCAGATTATTGTTGGGCTTATATGAAGCTGGACAAGTTGAATATATATTATAGTTACCGATTGGAAATAAGAATAATTATATAAATTGGTGATAAGGCGCGATGCATAATATAATTTTTTTATAAAATTAAAAATTGGTCCGAATTGTGGTTTCGTTCAATTTATTTTATGTTAATGAAAAATGAAACAATCTGAATTACAGAATACATGTACAATTTAAGCAAAGAGTAGTACAATTAAAGGTTGCAGAATTGGTAAAATGGGGTTTGGTACGCTGTTAGGTGGACAGAGAGTGCCCACTAATATCATTTAAATTTACAGAAAAGTAGCGAAAGTTAATTTATAAATACATTGTATTATAATTTTGTTTTTCATTGTGATTCAGCTACTCAACCACTATTACTAATTTCCTTAATTGTTAAAAAATGTAATATCTCTCAGTAAGGAAATATGAATAAATTTAAATGTAAATATAAAAGTTGTTTTCATGTTGTCTTTCGCTGTTGAATTTAAAATTTCAAAATCCCATTTATTCATATACATTCAAAATTAATTTTTTTTTTAGTTTAATACGTATATTTATTTATATAGTTCTATTTTTTTAAATTAATAATTGATGTTACATTTTATTATTTTATTACACACTTTTTGTTACTTTCTCCTCTTTCTCTATCTCACTCTCTCTCTCTTTTTAATTTTTACAATTTCATTTGACTTCTTTGATTTTACGCCTTTTATTTGTTTTTTAACTATTTATTGTTTGCGAGTTTATTTTCAATATTGGTTCCGTATAATTCTAGCTCTTCGTTTCATTTCTCATTTTTGACCTACCATTTATATGATTCTATGATTTTTATTTTGTGACTTTGTTATTAGTAGCTCTGGATGTGATCGAGCAATATTATATATGTATATATATATTTTTAAAATTTGTTTATTGATAAATATTACAATCTGTCTCAATAAAGGACATTTATAATAAAGTTCTGAGAGCACATTCACACCATATTTACAAATAAAAAAAAATAAGCTAACTTCAAATAATATAAAGCTACAAAAGAACAAAAGAAAATATAAATAATAGTAATAATAGAATGAAAGTAAAGGAATAAAATACAATTAAAATTATCTTTAAAAAAAAAGTAATGAAAATAAACATCTTAGATGCAGGCATACCTATTTACAGTCGGCCATGGGAACTCCGAACCATACTTATCCCCCCATACGTGGAGGGAAAGCAAGGCTTCAGGAGATCCCTGCGCTTCCTCCTCAACCATTTCACTGGCATTGAAAGCCAGCGGAGATTGAATTATATTAAACTTAGACATTCAATGAATAGTTATTTCATTCCTTGGAGTTAAGTTTTAATGTTCTTTAAAAACATCAATTCACCAATTTTCAAGAGGGGACACTTCACATGACTGCTAGGAATGTTATGTCGTTTCCGATATCGTTACATTGAGGAAGTTACTGATTATTCATTATTATAAACCGTTCCTGTACTGAATCTAAAACTGAAAAACCTATTCCTAATTGAATCAAAAAAGTGAAATACCGAAAATATCCAATTGGTTGAATTTTTGATGATTTCGGCACCATTTTAAAGTAACCGATGTGTCATGTTTTATAAATCTTTTTTATGTTTATTATCTGCAATATTGAAGGGCTAGTATCAATAGTGATGAATGTATAGGTTCATATCAAACAATAATTATAAAAATAAAATATAATGCGGTTTTACATTAGTCGGCTACTAACACACATGACTAAAAGAAGAAAAACGTACGTGTTGTAAAATTTATTCTTTTACTGTCTAACTTTTTACAGGTTTTTGCATTTTTTTTTTTTGTGCGAGATATTTTTTTTGAGTTACCTACTTTTGTTCGTAGACGTCGGATATTAAAAATGAAACCTGAACTGACGACCAGGCTTAAAATGTTGCATGGAATAGTTCAAAGGGAGTTCGTTTTTACGGTCACGTGACTTCTCCGTTTTACTGTTATATATTTCCATGCATAGTAACGATACCTCTAGGATGTCCATAGAGCGTGTTGTGCACTGTCCGTTCTAGGTTAGCCTTGAAAAATAAAACAAAATGAATAAAATATTTTTTATTAAACTTCAATAATTTACGGTAGTTGCACTTGACTTAACGATTTCTGCCTCTTTTCTTCATCTTAGAAGGCAAATCAGAGTCCCGATAGTTAAACATTATTTTAAATGAGACAATGGTACTAAAAGCAAGTGCCAAATATAAATCGAACGCAAATTGGATTGCTTCTGTATCCATCGTGCCATTTCTTGTTCATAATCGTGACAAAACCGAATTTCTGATGATTTAATTACTAACTATTAGTTTTTGAATATTTTGTTGATCAGTTTATTTTTTAACATATTTATTTTATTCATTCATTAATTGAGTTTTGCAACAATCTGTCACATGGACACTAGTTATAGTGAGGTAGGATAACATTCACACTATATGAACAAAAAATATAAAATAAATAGAAGAAAAATAACTATAAATAATAATCAAAAAGTATATACGATAAATAAAATAAAATAACATAAAAATAAGAAAATTAAAACCAAGAAAAAAACATATGCATACATATATACAATCAGGCGAAAGAACTCCAGGAGAACACTGCGCTACTCTCTCAACCGCCTCACTGGTACTATAGCCAGCGGAGATTGATCGAGAGCTTATTTACATAGAAGAGATAATACGTTCTGCCACATTTAATGACATAAAATATTAGAGCTATATGTGATTCGTTCATACTGTATATTTAATGAGACTGCAATAAAAAAACAAAAGAAAAATCATAACAAAAACAAATCATGAAAGAAATAATATATAAAAAATCATAAAACACATTCATACTTAATCAGAATATTTACAGTCAGCCTAGAGAGCCCTGAGGGTCTCTTTTTTTGAGGAAAGAAAGCCTCTTTGAGAGAGGAGGACATCTCGACGCCTCTCCGTCAGCCGCATCACCGTTATAGGAATCCAGTAAAGACTGAGAAAGGGCACTGGAGCCACTGACTATCATGGTTTGAGGGGTGAGATTGGCCATTTCCAGAACTCCAATAACATGTTTACAAGAGATATTCACGCTACAACCTTTGTGGAGGACTGTCGGGTGATTGGGGATGGGTTGGCTTCTTCTACGGATTTAATTTTGTGGATCATATTCTCATGAGTTGGATTATCTGGATGAAACATCGTCAAGGACATAAGCGATGGTGAGGTCATGATGTTTTGTTTATAACGTGATATGAAGCATTACTATTGTTCGAAGTACTTCAGACTGGAAGTAATGGATAAGTTTGATATGGATTCAGTACGTTTAATGTGTCTTCCACAATTCGAATATAGGCCCAGGTGTATATTAATAATTTGAAATTTTTCGTGGATCGGCTCGGTTCATTCTTTGATCACCGCCACAGTGTGCCCCCACTCCACTTGGAAGGGACCTACGACGCATTGAGTGGATGTGTACAAATAATTTGTTTGTTCAGAAGAGGCGCGGCGCGCTAAATCTACTATAGGGGGTCGGCGGATCGATTGAACTAATAGTGCTGCCTTTCCGTCCCGGCTTGCTGAGAATTCCCAGACCACTGCCGCCCATGTCTGCGCCACTCGTAAATAGATCTGAATATCTCAATATTAAACTGCCAAGATGAGTGTTCATTCCGGTTTGGCTTTCGTCGTTCGCATTTATTATTTGTTGGTAGTCTACTGCTTTGCAGAGTTTGATATTACATTAATTACAATAATAAGCAATTTAAAATACTGTGATGATGCACAATTTACGTAATGGTGATTTCCAAATATATTGGCTGCTTACTGTAGCTAACACAATGTAGGTACCATAAAACAGATCTTATCAGATGAATTATGGTATGGATGTTTTATTATTGTACTTTTATTTACCTTTCCCACTTTTCCCGATCTTACTCCTTTTGAATTACTCATGTCAGTGCAACATTTTCATATTGCTACTTATTGTTAGTTTTACTGTTCACATGGTTAACTTAACACATATATTTTTTTATTTTATTTATTTATTTATTTATATTTTATGCAATTTGTACCTGCGCGGCTGCGCATGCAGCAAATTTGTTGTGTTTTTATTGTCTAGTTGTATTTTCTTGATTTGGTTTTTATTGATTTAGTAGGTCTCTTGTCCATTTTTTTAAACAGATATATTCATCTTAAATGTTTTAGAATAATATACTAATTTATATATAATCTATAATAATAAACATTTTCTATCGTGGTTTATTTTTCAAGTATCTACTCCCAGACAGTTATAATTTGAATTTTCGTCTGAATAGCGACTAGTTTAAGTCACTTTTTTAACTTTTCTGTCGTGGTTTATTTTTCAAGTATCTAGTCCCAGATAAATATTTAAATTGAATTTTCGTCTGATTAGCGACTAGTTTAAGTCACGTTTAAAATGTATCATGTCAAGTAATGCAATGATTTTCGAAAATTCGAAAATTATAGGAGAGCATGGATGGAATAATTAGAGATTCATCGGAAGCTCTGATATTAAGGACAATCCGCCTTGCATTGGGTTTTATAGTCTCCAGTACTCTGCGGTAAATAGTCATCAGGAACTTCAGTGCCTTTTTGGAGTCTTAGATCATTTGTCAGGTCTTGCTTCTACGTTGAGGCTTACTTTTTCTGTCAGTGTTTAACGAGTTCTCTGACTGGTGATGGATTGAAAGAAAGAGGTTGAGTTGTCAGTTGAAGTGAAATGGCTTGAGGGTTAAATCGAAAGTGTTCGTGCCCTTCAGTAGTGTCACCCGGTCATGCATCTCTAAAATGTAGGTAAAAAATAAATAACTTATCATAGTTTCACCAAATTAGATATCATCAGGACAAGAAATGCTTATACTTCTTAGGTATGGCAGTATGTGTTTGGATGTCATGGATTGATTTTTAAAGGTCAAGGCTTTGTAATAGGATTTTGAACAATTATAACCTAACATCTAATTTCTGTCTCTTCTTGAGGTTTTTATTTGTTTATTTAAAGTGATAGGTGACTGTAAAACCGGTAAAGATGGATTTTTCTTCTACGACAGATTTCAAAGACTATCTTTAGTTTCATGAAAATGTCTGTTTTAATTGATTCTTGTAGAGTAGGGCTGTTTCACGCAAAATTTGTGTGAGTGCCAATCCTTTGTTAAAACAGTGTATTAGTGAATGGATAAGCAGCCTACGGCTCTGTCTTTTTCCAAAAGACGGAACAAATCGTCACCAAAATTAATATAGCTGAATAATACTACTCCATAGAGCTGAAATTGCCAATTGGGGATATGCTTGATGGCTAACACCGTTCGGATCATGTGGGTTACATAACTTGGAAATAATGCTCGATTTGGAACACAGGTAACTGAGGAGGTGATTACTCTAGTTGAATAAACCATTGTGTTTGGTCGTGGAGTGCTAACCTAATAGGTAAGGCTAACTCACATTACCATGGATTAAGTCTGGAATCTTATGATTTGCTAACCCAAAATCTAAAACCTAATATTTAAGAAGAAGACAAAAAGTAAATTTTAATCTGAGGCATTCAGCTCCCTAAGAATAATTATGTTGATCAATTTAGTGAACTTGATAAAAATCCAACAAATCCTTCAGCATCCCTTATGTCTCTTCAATAATTGATTACTGTAGCAAAACGATATTAAAAATTGTATTATGTGTTGTTATAAAAACAAGCATTATTTATTTCAGCTTTAAATATTATTGAAAGAGCAGTTTGATATCTGATGTTCTAAACGTTTTATTAAAAATTGTCCTCTAATATCTTGACGATTCAGAATTTTTTTTCAGATATTGCCCAATCTTCAGCCTTTTAAGCCTGTGAGAAGCTTAAGGTTTTTTTCCCTATCGGCCCTCTTTCTTTCTTTTTTTTTTTTTAAGTTCAATCTTTTAAGCTGTACCAGGAGCAGTCTTCCCGAGTTTTAATGGGTTCCTTTTAAATGGCAATACCAGCGAGGTTAGACTTTACCTACTAGAGACTGTCAACGATTCCCTGTCTTCATCAGTTTCTAATCTTGAAATTATAACTGAAACTACAGTCAAACTATTTCGGAAATATGGTTCAGAGCGAACTGTTCAAAATAGTATCATCATCAGTATGTTCGAAACGGTGGATTCGATTTCCACCTGATACAAATAGTATTTGAAGAGTTGAGTTCGTCACTGTACTTTCCCACAATAGAGGAATTCTTATGGGGAAGTGTTGCTCAAGTTTATCGGGTTAACGATTTTTCTTAACAATTTTCAATAATGTCACATCACTACAAAAATCTCAACTTTGATACTATACGGTGTCTTTTTTCTTCATATCTTGATTCACATCTTGTCACAAGCTTGACAATAAACAGATGTGTTGTTATTGTTAAGAAAAATTATGTCTTAGGTATAAGGATAATTATTAAAATATTATATGGAACTATAAAGGCCCGTTCAACACAATGCTGAACTCCATTGTGAGGATGTCCGGTCGTGTAACAAATCATACAGTTCAAGAAAGAAAAGAGAAAACAGATGGTCTAAAATGAGAGCTTTTATTTTATTCCATACTATTTTCGTTGAAATTCCGGTTGAGATGGAAGATATAAATTTTGTCCAGCAATTTATTTTTGACTGGTTGATAATCCACCGCGCTTCTGTCCTGGCTTTATGGCAATCGATATGTTTACTTAATGATGGAGGAGTTTTTAAAATTTTTAAAGCTCTATGCCGTTTCGTCAAAGCAGCACGACATTCGGGTTTCCACCAAGGAACCGTTCTTAAATATTTAGATGGTTTGGTTTTAGGGACCGAGAGGATAGCAATTTGAACAATTACTGAGGCAAACCTTTCAAGATTTTCTCCGTGAGATGAAGAAATTTCAAAATGCCTAAAGTTATCGCTACAACTTTTGTAAAATTCGCCCAATTGCCTTTGTCTATCCTCCATTTCCCGATAGACTGTGGAAGAAACGGGTCAATTTGCAGTGAAAGCAAAAGAGGTAGGTGATCACTACCTGCAAGATCACAATGAAAGATAAGCCGGAAGGAACTTCTGCATAAGGAATAAGGAAGAAATAAAGAAATAATTACTCTACAAAAAATGTTTTAGAGACCTCGGAAATGTTTGGGCTATCACCCAGTTTGCTGCATGCAGTTCTACACCATCTTGGTTAATTCGATCTATCCCTCTTGTTTTCGGCGTAATGTGTGGTCCGAGCTACTTGCCCTCCATAACATAACTTCCATTCCTTCCTATCCAGAGGTCGACCAGCTTCTGTAAGCAGTTCTATATTGGACCTTCTTCAACATTTGTTAGTACTCTGATGCCAGATTGCTCCGGTTACTGTACGAAGGACTTTCCAGTAAAATCTTTCAGTACTTTTTTCTAGGGTTATCGTCAGTGTCTAGAAATCATAACTGTATATTAGACTGGCTATATAATAGTATTGTACACCTCCACCCTCTTCCAATAAAAAAAAAAGAAAAATATTAAAAAATAACTTCCGAACATTACAACGACTATCAATTTTTTCATTTGCCAAAACAAATGCCAAAAAACATTGGAAAGAATTATAACCTATTACAGAATTTGTGAAAAATTATTTCCATGTAGAAATAATATGAAATAGTTTCCTAAAACTGTATTTGTGGGATTATGATGTTTTAATATTTAAAAAACTAATTAGAAATTTATTTCCTATCGATTCTATGTGTATATATGCACTGCTTTATGGAGTATGGTTGCATTTCGCTGCATTAATGTCAGAAATATCATAAGCTACCGGGTTATGTTTTTTTTCAATAAAATTATATAGTTTTTAAGAAGGTGATTGGTCTTAAACTCGTGATGGTTTAATAGAGTTCGGTTAACATATTTCTAACAAGACAACTTATGTTTTGGGGAAAAATTAATTTACAGTTTTAATGCGAGTCTATCTAATGTCCTATCGGAGAAGCTATTTGGAGTTTGGAAGGTTGGACGCCATAGGTTCCGATGGGGAGAAAGTGTTGCCTCGATGCATTCGCAGCTGGAAGGCAGCAGCACAAAACAAAGATAACTGGCGGTCAATGCTAGAGCAGGCCAAGACCCGGCGTGTGGATCGTAGAGCCGTATAATAATGATATTAATACGAGTCAGTTTGCATTTTTTTGAAGAAGAATAGTTGAGGTCCAATTACAAAAAAAAAAAAAAAAAAAAAGAAAACCTGAACCACTACAACTCATTAATGGTTTTTGGGTTCAGTACAAAGCAGGTAAAGCACTGTTTCCATGGTCAACGGATGTGCAAGGAGATGATTTTATCGAGATCACGTTCAACCACTAGGTTTTTCTCCATTAATTAATTATTTAATTAAGGGTACCCACTTTATAGAGGCTGGATGTTCCCCAGGAGGGTCTTCTAAATCCAGGATCGCCACAAGGCCAATGAAACATGATCAACAAGTTGTAATTAAATATTATATAATTTTTATTCTTAGCGGAAAGGTTAAGACTGTCAAAAAGTAATAAATAATAATTATAACGTGGTATATTTTTTGTTAGAATTAACCTAAAACACTTTCTAAAACCAAAAATCTTGTACAAACGTGCCGATTTTTTTAAATATTAAAAATTAGTGGAGTATCTTCTAAAACTTCGTTTTTTATTTCTTGTATTTTTGAACTGTTTAGGATATTTTTTTCTTCTGAAGTGCTTCAATATTTTTCCTTCCTGATTTGTATATTTACTTTCTAACCTAATAAACTTATCAAAAGAGATTTTTTGTCTGATTCCTTTTTCTCTTCTAGCTCTGAGAAAAATAAATAAAAGGACAGATGGTAATTGTAATCAAACAATAAAAAGCAATGGGACCAAGAACTTAATGCAAAGCTAACTTTTCCAGCAGTCCTCACGGAAAAGGAAAAAAACAAATGTTTTTTATCCTTAATCTTCGTTCATTCCTTTTTTTTTTAATGTAAACAGGCAATGCTTAAACGATACATTTGTTTTATTTTTTTATACTTGAGTGGTCATTTTTATTTAAACTAAATAAAAAATTTAAATATTTTTCATATGGATTGACGAATTATAAATTTAAAAACTACCACTTTAGATGAATAATAATTAACAACGGGAGGTTATGGGCGAGTGGTCACTGATTTCTAACTATTTGTGGGGTCACTGATTTCATTGTAACTTTATTTGGTGATACTTGATCGAAATATATTTGACCTGTGCCCGACAATTCATGCCGATGCGCTCGCTCTAGGAGGTAAGAAAAAAAAAGTTTTTTGTATCACTCTTTCCTTACTTGGTTTCTATGGATTTTCTATATTATTATGTATTATTTAAATTAATCAACTAATTAATCGATTTGTTTTTGTAGAGAGTAAGAAAAACCTATTTGTATTAAACAAATTTAATTAATGAACAGGTATGTATGTGTTCTTTCTATTCATTTATTTTTAGGTTATTTTATTCTTATTTATTGTATATATGTTATTTTTCTGTATATTTTATTTTATTTACTGTACATAGAGTGTGAATGTGATCTGTGAACACTATTATTAAATGTCCTTGAGACAGATTGTAATATTTTTCAATAAATAAGATTAAAAAAAATTAATAAATAATAAATTACAAAAACCCATAGACGGTTCCATTAAAGTAGGCAAAGTTTATTTTTATCATGAAAAAACTATTCAGATTCTTTTTTAGTGTCCATTTAAATCGTCAAATACGAGTTTGTTATAAAATTAAAAAAATAAAATTTTTGGACTTAAAAATACTCAAAATTAAACGCCCGTTATTAAATTAGATTTGGAAATAAAATCTAAAAACGTTTGGGAATTTTTTTTTTATTTCTTCCTCCTATTCTCTGTTTATATGGTGTGAATGTGTTCATATATCACCCACTATAATTATTGTCCACGTGACAGACTATTATATTTCTAAATAAATAAATTACTTAGAATTAAAATTATTCCTCCTAACGCCGTAAAATCAAAAATCGTATTTAAGGATTTAAATAGACACTAAAAACGAATCTCGATCATTTTCTCATAATAAAAATCTACTTTGCCTAGTTTACTGGAAGTGTCTATTGGTTTTCTAATTTATAATAAATTATAATTCGTGTAATGTAATTAATAATAAGCTTTTCTTTTTTTTTTTACACAAAGATTATCTATTGGTACATAATAATTTAGAAATTCATACAAAGCAAAGTCAGAAAACAATATAAAAAATTTAATTAATAAAAAAATTAATTAATATAAAAAATAATAAAATTTTATGAAAATCAAAATTGTTCTTGGCTCCTACGGTGCATTGGCCAGAACCTTCGAACATGGTTGTAATATTTTTGACCTAGTATCACCATAAAAAAGTTACATGGAAATCGGAGATCTCAGGTCCGTAAGTCTAATAAAGAAGATTTATAAAACGTTGTATTCAACCAGAAATATTACATAATAACACAAATTTTAAAAATACTTATAACAATATATCTACTATGTATGATATATAAGTTGCATATTAATAAATCTTCGATCACCTTTATTTCAAACACTGGATTTTTTTTAAATCAAATGTGTTTTTATGTTTCATGGAGGTTATTGTTATCGTATGTATCTTACAACATGTGTTACCCTACTTCTCCTTCTGTCTTTATTTTATTTTTCCATTTCATTTATTTTTTATTACAATATTTTTCGGCCTCATTCCTATTATACTTTCTATTACATGATCTATAAGCTAGATTTTTTGCTGTAAGCTGGTGTAAGCGTAGTTCCATTTTTGCTTTCAGTTTCCTGTATTTAATCATTAACCTCTTCAGATAAGAAAATTCGTGCCTGAGAGTATCTTTATAAATATTTAGATGTTGACCTTTGTCGGAGTGTTTTTCTTGAATTTTAATCTTCTTTTTTCTTAACGTTCTTCTTTACACTCTTTGATCACATATTCTGAACTTGATTTACCTGTCCAATTATCATTTTTACTGTCTACCTTGTTTTCACGGCGTTCTTTTACTGGGAATGCATTTTACTAAGTTCATTACGGAAGAAAGTCAACATAATTCTACATTCTTCATAATTAGATATGAGAAAAATTAAATTATAACCATGAAAATCACGAATGATTGACTGTAGTTGAAACTTGAACTCGAGTTGAACTGCAATTGTACAACTGGCCCTAAATAACTAGATAACTGTCGTTCTTCTATTATAGGAAGTTGTGAGAATCACTTCCCGTTATATTTGCTATTTATGTTAGTATTAAATCGAATGATTTACATTTTTCTTTTGATTTTATGCCTTGCCAACAGTCAGTCATGCTTTTTTTGTAAATATTTAAATGCTGTAAATGAGTTTATTTATTTATTTAGTTATATTTGGTTGTGATGTGCAACTGCTACGGTTAGAGACACCTTATTTAATTTCATTATTATTATTATTATTGCAATCACAGCGCTACAACTTGGTGACGGGTCTTGGCCTCTTCCACTAGCTTCCTCCAGTCATCTCTGTTCTGTGCGGCCATCATCCAGCTCCTGACTCCCAGGACACCCCTTGAATCTCTTGCCGTGTGGCAAGTCTCTTGACAGTGTCGTCTGACCATCTTAGTTTTTGTCTCCCTCTTCTTCTTGCGCCGTAGAGAGGTTCTGTCAGGATCATCCTAGGGTTTGCTTTATTCTTCCTTCTTGCCACACATGGCCAGCCTATCTCAATCTTCCAAGCTTCATACTAAGAACGACATCTTGATCATTAAAAGTTGAGCAAATTTCGGCATTTGCCCGTCTTCTCCAATTTCCGTCAATCTGTACTCCTCCAAATATTCTTCGAACAATTTTTCTCTCAAAGATTAGGAGATCTTGCTCATTCTTTTTAGCCGTCGTCCATGTTTCTGAAGCAAAGAGCAGGACTGGGCGGATTAGTGTTTTATAGAAATGTAGCTTGTTATGCCAGATAGAAGGCGAGAGTTCAATTCCATGCGAAGGGCGAAGTAACACTTGTTAGCCATAAATATTCTTTTCTAGACCTCGACTTCGGGTGCATTGTATTGTGTTACCAGTGACCCCAAATACCTTAACTGCGCTACTTTCTCAAAGTTAAAGGGGCCAATATTGTTGATCTCGCCTGGTCGAGTTACTTATCCTGTGGCTATATATTTAATTTTGCCTTCATTCATTTCCAACCCAAGTGCTCTGGTGGCCTCCAACAAAGCTAAAAAACCCTCTCTAACATTTTACATATCCAATAAACATATGCCTGTAAAAAAATCATTACCGGTATTGTTCCCCACATCAGACTCGCTGATTGTCAGTAATTCTGGCAGATGTACTGACAATCAGTAAGCTTAAAGTTAAAAAAAAAAAAAATCTACCAATACGTAGGATGACATTTTAAGAATTTTTTTGTCTTCGACTATTGTTTATAGAAAAATAATATTCAGGATCCAATTCGATTTTGTTAATTTTAATTAATTTTTACAACAATGGAATAAAAGAAAATTGTCCTTTTCTTCTTTCATTTTTACTTTTATTTATGAACGATAATGTTTCATATCTTTTTTTTTTTTACTCGAGGATTGTGAATCCTAGTTTTGATTCACCAATTTATTTTTCTATTTTTGAAGTAAAAACATCTTTAGGAGTGTTTTGCAGATTTTTATGAAGAGCGAATTGGATTGAGCCTTCAGCTTTCCGATGTGTAACGCTCGGGCAAAGTCAGCTGAAGTCGAATAATTTTTTTTTTTTGTTTATGGAATAAAATATCTCAGAAACTAAAATTTGGATCTGCATATTGTTAGCAAGGGATATTTTCATCCTCTTTGTAATGAGCTATTATTCAAAGTTGTATATTAACACGATGCTGTGCTAGAGAGACGAAAAGGAAAAATTAGTGTCAAATAACGAGTTGTATGAAAGATATGGACTAAAACATTTCAAAAACTAAAAATCGGATATACATACTATAAGCTAAGGAATTGTTCAGCATTTCATACTCTTTATAATGAGGTATTATTTGTAATTTATATATCATATTATTGGTATGTCCTTGATGTTTTTACTTCTATAGTGTGGTCTGAAGCACATACCTTAGTTTTTTTTTAAATATATTTTTAATGTATTTGTAGCAAGTCATGTATATTAATTATTTATTTTATTTTTGTAACATTTCGGTTAAATGTTGGTTCAGTGGACTCCAAAGACTCTGAAAAGCAAAGAAAAATCCATGAACTCTGCCTGTCACATTAAAATTGTAGAAGGGGCGGAAAGGAGTGGTTACCTCTTGAACATGGCGTCTATTGAACATACAACACGGAACTTATGTCCTGTATAACATTTCCATGAATAATTCAGGATTATGGATCTTTTTCTGTTGTATATCATTGAATACCTAATCACAAATTCAAGATGTGAATAAACGTTTTGCGGGTCTCATAGGTTGTTACGGGTTAGATGATATATTGATGGAGAATTCAGTATTGTATTTCCAAATCATTTGCGTCTACAGTTATCATCAAAATAATGTCTCATTATAAAGAGGACGAAATGCTGAACAATTCTCTCGCTAACAGTATGCACATCCGATTTTTAGTTTCTGTATAAAGTAATACATGTTCCCATTCTAAGAAAATGATGATCATGTAATTATAATTTTGCAGAATGTTGCATCGCTTTTGGATATGTAATCCTAAAAATACGAAGTGGTAGATTATTATGTAAGTTCGTGGCACAGACCTCTTTTCCTCAAATTATTAACATCCAGCTGAAGCTTCATAAATAGCTTTATCTCATCGTAATCTACAAAATTTTTATTTACGAAAATGCTCGGAATCAGGACGTTTTCTATTTGGAGGTCGGTAAACATTGTATATTTAATTAGGTACTTAAAACTTGTAAATACCCATTTGCTTTCTGCTTGTATCGTAAGCTAATTTGATCACAAAATGGATAAAAAAGGTGGTCTACAAAATATTGGGCGGTTTGGCCTATATAATCTCGTTATTTTGACAATTCAGACGGCACAATAACAAAGACAATAACAATCGGCACAACATTTTTGAATGCTACCTTTTTTCTTGACTTTGCGCTCAAGTTATCTTACGATTCGAGAAGAAAGTAAGTGGGTATTTACGAGGTTTTTGTACCTAATTAAATAGAAAAAGTTTGTCGACTTCCAGATTGGAAATTCCGAAAATTTTCCTAAATAAAATATTTGCTGGTTACAATGAGATGAAGCTATTTACGAAGTTTCAGGCGTATGTTAATAATTTGATAAAAAGAAAGGGCCTGAACGACGGACTATATTTTTTAGTGTTTAATGTATTGATTTGAGCATTTTATATGTTTTTAAATTACTGTCATTAATACTGTTATCCGTAAATGTACCTGTAAATTATTGTTGTCCTTCATTATCTATTCTGGAAGGCCCACGTGTATGACCTCAAACGGAAGGCTTCGTCTATTGGACTTCGTTATTTGACCTTATTTACGTTGTTTGGACACACCTCGATCATTCTTTGCTTTTCATCTTTAAATCTATTCAACATTAATAGCCTTAAATGTTTAAATTTCTCCATAATTTGTTGTTATTATTTTATTTATTCACAAACTAAATATAATTATAGTATATAATTAAAGTATACGGTATCCAATTACGTTCCACTTCATTTTCCACATTACATTAACGATTTGATGGATGTATTTCAACGCGTACTATTTTGCTACTTAATGCGTATTTTAGTTTACTTCGTCATTGGCTTAACTTAATACACTAATCTTTTAATAGTTTAAATAAATAACGAAGAAAAACTTCGTAGCAAAAATCTAGAAATATATAATATATGGAAAATATAAAAATATTTTTTTATAAATATTTACAATAATCCAACAATGAGCTCAATATACCTCAAAACTGGCAATGTCTATGAAATTTTAATGGATAGTTTCCCATATGTTGTCTGGTGCGATAAGGTTTGATTTGGGAAAGTACTTGGTTTAATACATAAGTGGTTAAATAAATTGATTTCAAGATACTAAAATTACAGGAAACTATAGATATCTGTTCATGAAATTTATTGTGATTATTAAAAAAATTAAAGAAAAGTCATTTTAATATTATCAATGTTAACTGTATCCGTACCGATTTTAATTTTAATCCAACTTTTTTTTTCACATGATTATATAGAATTTTATTTATTCGATTTTCAATATGCATTATAGTAAGCTTTATTTTAAGCTTAAGACCCTTTTAGAGGAAATTTAATTGTAATGGTGGAAAACAAATATTTTCAAGCGAAGCCGCCGGTAACTATTTAAATAAATTAACCACTAACTCTCGTTATTTGTTTATAAAATAATCAACAATTACAAAATACTGTTAATTCAAATTAATGGATTCAAGGCTTAAGGGATAAATAATTAGTGATGCATTCCATACCATTAGTACCATAAATACCTACTGTATTAATGTAATAGATTCAACTAATATATATAGAAAATCTCTCGCCGACAGTTTTCTGATCATGACACAGTAATTTTTTCCATATTATAATTTTTTCCAAATATATTACTTATTTAAGTTTCTTTCATTTATTTAAGGTTAAATATTTCATTCTATTATGTTATTTTTTTTTATAACAATTCATAAATAAATTAGTGAATTTCGATCCCGATCAAATTTTATAATTGTTGTTACGAGACCTGATAGAATTGATGAATTAGGGCATTCATTGAAACAGCTAATTACTTCTTACGTGTTTGATTTTTTTCATAATTACACAATGGTATATTGTTTCCAAACAATTATACATCAAAAGTACCATTACGTTCCTTGTAACATAAAGGGAAATAAATAAAAGGTGATTCTTAATATTGGCCTTAAGTTTTTTTTTCATCATTTGTTTAGAAAAACGGACAAAATTGCTTCAGTTGACGTATAACGTTCTTTAAAACTAAAACAAATGACATAAGCTTTGCAGTAGAACATTTTAAAAATATTTGGAGCACCATACTTGTCCGATTTTTTAGGAAATCTCGTGAAATTTTGAATATTTATAATAGCATCAACAAAATAGTGCATGCTTTTTGAGTTATTCGGAAATTTTATTTGATTACCCCTGTTAACTTTTTTTCCTGCTTCTTTCCTTGCAGTATGTTTTATAAAAATTTTTATATAAAGGACATCGAGAAGAACACTTTAGTCAAGTTCCATTTAAATCGTTATATTCGTTTAAGTGCTACATATTTACCAACAAAGGTTTTTTCGGCCGCTGTCTTGAAAAGAAAGGGCGGGTAGTAATGTTGAGGTAAGAGGATCATCTTCGAGTGACTTCTGACTTTAATTTCAAATTTGAAAAAAAAAAAATGAGTTCAGCAATCTTGGATAAAATCTGTGGAAGTCGTGACGCGTTGGACAGGCATTTTTTTTCATTTGATTTTCGTGTTCTACGTATCCTGAAATTTAAAACATCAAATTTTTAAGGAGTGGATTTAATTTTTTGATTTGTTTTTTTTTTTTTTGGTCGATTATCTAAATGATTGAAAATAATAAATCTAAATCGAAAATGAGATTGTTAATATCTCTTCTAATATTAATGTGTCCGTTATTCAAATCACAAGTAAGCTTTATCAATCTTTTAGTGTTTTCTCTTTAGTGACAGAATATCCTGTGATATTCGTATAATCTGAACATTAATTGTAGACTCAACAAACAAACAATAATAATGGCTTACCGCTTGTATTAAATAATTAGCAGATATTTCTTAAGAATTATTGAGGCTAGGAAATTAGCAATAATTCACACGATAAATTGTCATAATTAGGGGGAAAAAATTTCTAATAATTAAAACATATAATATGTGATGAGTGAATTTAAATTTCTGGACCGAATTAGATTAGTTGTATTAGGAACTAGTGTTTTTATACATGCAATAACAAACATTTCAAACACTTTTTCTATAATTTATTCAATCATTTTCTCTACTTGTGTTAAAGAAATTCGCCTGAGAAGTGGTTCTTAATGATTGAGTACCCAAAGAAATACATGCGTGTTGCACGAGATGTTTTGGCTAATATGTGTTATCAAGAACAGTTGACCTTCGATAAATTTTTATCTCAGCACCCTAACAACAAATCTCTACTTATTTCAAACATTCTTAAAACGTGTGTTAAATGAACTTTCTTAATAAAATTTGTTTTCACGAATCAATGAAAAAAATTGCTTATATATATATATATATATATATATATATATATATATATATATATATATATATATATATGTACATCCAAATACATATCGAGAGTAATTAGTTATGGATGGCTCATCTCACTGAGAAAGAATAAAAAACCTAGTATTAGTCGGTAACACTAATTTTTTTTTTATTAAAGAAATTTACAACTGTAATTAATACTAAATACAACAAGTAAATATGAACAAGTAATATTACATGTACAACATGAAGAGAAACTACCCATTGGTAGCATTCCAATTATATTTCTATATTAGAAGGTCCCGAGGCCATCTTCTTTTCAGACGCCTCGGAGGGTTATCAAGAATAGAAGAGGAAGCAAGGTTTTAAATGAGAGGGTTCGGATGGTTCACAAGTTTATTATGGAAGGACAGGTATCTGGATTGAGCTAAATCAGAAACATATGATACATTAAGGTCATTATGAATGATTTTATTTGTGACAAAGTAGACAGCATTGAGGGTCCACTCAAATAAAATAAATTTATTTCTATTGGAATGTTATTTGAGAAACAACACACGACATTTTATAATTAATAAAATCACGCAAACCAATATTTTTTGCTAAAAGCTTCATAGATAAGAGTTTACGAAAAATATATAGCGTAACTGTATACAACAATCAATATTTAGACTATTTATGTGATGTAATTTCATGCATTATAAGATGTTTCTCATACCCCTTTTTCATACCCTGTATCTGAAAGAAGTTTCTGAAATAACCGATTCGATTCATCCGAAAAAAATAACACACTCTTAGGTATATTTTCGCATACAAAAGGCCCTATTTACATATTTTGGTATATGTATGCTGTAGGTGAAGGGACGTAATTTATTAGGAATTCTTTATACTATTTAAATATACATGGCTTAAGAGCCGAAAGATTACAAAAAAAATATTAAAAATACATGAGTTAGTTTAGCTATTTCAGGTACTCTTTCATCATGTTTATATTATTAAATTTTAAGTTTATATTAAAAAATAATTATATATATATATATATATATATAGCAACATATCCTAGGATATTATTATGCATTCATGTACTCCCTCGGAG